GTAAAATGTTAATGAAATTTTCACTGCACATTTAAATGGGGTTAAATAATGCTTTTTGTCTTTCTCTTCAGATCTGCAGGAGCATGTACAGCTGCAGCATTCCTGAAAGAATTCGTGACTCATCCCAAGTGGGCACATTTAGACATAGCAGGCGTGATGACCAACAAAGATGAAGTTCCCTATCTGCGGAAAGGCATGACCGGAAGGCCCACGAGGACCCTAATAGAGTTCTTACTGCGTCTCAGCCAAGAGAGTGCTTAGTTCAGATGCTCAGACATTTCTTTATTCTGTCTTAAACTGGACAGTTGAGCTTCAAAGATTTTTGAATGAATGGATGAAAATCTTTTAAAGGAAACAAAGGATGGTATTTAAAAATTAGAACCGCAATAAAATTTATATGCCTTGATTTGTTTTTTCATTTTATGCAAAGATTTATAAAGGTAAAGTGAATGTCTTGCTTGACAAGGATTTTTAAGATACTCCATCAGTGATGATTAATTTTTATAAAACTTCCTAATCAACTTATCAGTGTATATTTTTAATTGAGAAGCAAAATTGTATTTCAGATTTGTGATGCCAGTAATGTGAGCAAACTGAAAGTTACTATGTGGTTGTGAGAAATGATAAATCCAACTTTCTGTGCTCTCTGGTGTGGCTCTGATATTTACTTAAACTACTACAAACCCAGTAACTTTACCATAACCTGTCTCTTCTGGCTGTGTTACGTGTACTAAATAATTAAGTTGGGGCACAGTGATAAAGGTATTTTCTCAGTGCTAATAGTCACTTTCGGACACTCAGTGATTGAGCTTGCCAGTTTGTATGACAGTGGCCTGGCACGTGATTTCCAGAATGAATCAGTCATGAAGTAATTACATAAACCAACAACTGCAGGCTTACCATCTGCCAGGGATCGTCCTAAGTGTTTTCGGGTATTATTGAATCCTCACACTAACCCAACGAGGCAGATACTATTACTACCCCTACATGACACATGAGGAAAATGGGGCATGAGGGAGGTTTAGTAACACGCAGGCAATGTCATGGAGCTAGTAAGTTGGTAGCAGAGAGAGTTTAACACATTGCCACACTAGAAAAAAAAAATTTTCCCCTGGGTCCACAGTGTTTTATTACAACAAAATGATCCTTTCTAATTTGTTGTTCTTCATTGTTTTCTGTGCGTGAGTTAGATGCAACATAATCCATGTTTTTAGAATGAAATTGTCAATATTAGTTGTAACAATAAGAACTTTCAACAAGTAAGATTTTCAGGAACCAACTGCAGGGTTTTGCTACACAAGGCCCAGTAGAGCTTTGGTAGAAGGCTTTCTGTTCAAAGGTTTTTTATGGATAAAAGAACGATAGAACTCCTGTGTTCACTAATGTGTGGGATACAAAAGGCATAGCACAGGCCCTGGTTTCATGTGCTTATCTGATCTGGTTACGATGAAACTTAATACTTGTTGTTGCACATGAACTTCCGAACCATTTGCTGATCCTCAGAAGCACACTCTGCTACAGATGGGTATCAACTAGGACTAGGCACGGCTGTGAAGAGCAGCAAATCCAAAACAGCAGTGATTTAGAACGTGATAGTTTTAAAAGGTAAAAGTTGACAGAAGTAGGGAATCCAAGGTCAAGGGCTTGGAATTTTACATCACCACCATGGCCTCAAGGCTTCCTCATAGTCCCAGGTAGCTGCTGGGGTTGAAGGAAAGGGAGCAGGGCAGAAGGGGTACAATTGCAGTTCATTTGAGGAGGTACCACTGAAGTCCCGTGTACACTCTGCTCGTATCATCAACCAGAGTAAGCCATGCCTGCTGCACAGGATTTGGGGAAACGTAGATTAGCTGGGTGCATTGTTGCTCTGGCAGAAGAAGGGGAGAGGAAAGGGGACAGCTCATGAGCTCGAAAGAGTATGGATTAAAACTCAGATGAACAGATCTGTAAAGTTTAGCATCCGTGTGCCCCAACATGTGGCCTTGAGCACAAGAAACCATCCCTGAATGTAGTACAATCTGTAAGCCCTTGCTATGACAGGACAGTGCACGTTTTAACTGCAATGAGGACAGGTACCCTATCTCTCCAGTTTATCACTGTATCTACTCATGGCACATAGACTAAAACCACTGGTAAAACTTGATATTGGTTGAATGAGATACTGGTTGAATGAATTGAGACAAGGTGAACTTGATAAAATCTTGGAAGGTTTGGCAGTTAAAAAAAGGTTTTAGGATTACAGCAGAGTAAATCCAAAGATGCCCTTATATCCTCCAAGGTTAAAGCAGTAGGAAATGTTTTACTAATTTTGGAGTAAAAGATTCATTGATTCAGCAAATATTCCATGCCTACTTTGTGCCAGATATTTTGGAAGGTGTTTGCGATGGCAAAGTAAACAAGATGTAGTCCCTGCCCTTAAAGAATTCAGTCTAGGTGGGTGTCGGGCAGGAGGGAGGGGGGAGGAGGGGATGTGTATATGCATACATAATGAGTGTGATGCGCACCATCTGGGGGATGGACATGCTTGAAGCTCTGACTTGGGGGGGGCGAGGGCAACATATGTAACCTAAACATCTGTACCCCCATAATATGCTGAAATAAAAAAAAAAAGAATTCAGTCTAGGGTTGGGGGAAGAAGAGTTCTAAAACCATGAGTCACTTGGTGGTACATCAATCAGACAGTATTGGCCTGACCATTTCTTTGTGGCCCTTTGCAGCCAGCCATATTCTACAGCTGTAGCTCTGCCACTCATGAGCTGTGGGCTCCCCCCTTGCATCATAATCCTAAGGAAATGTTGGCCTAAACTCTGTCTTCAGGAAAGTCACATTCAACAAAATATATTATGCATTCCATTCCCAACCATTTGGGTTTTTTCCTGAGCAAATCAGAGTTCATCTGATCACATCTCATCACCTTTGTCTCAACTGCCATAGTGTAAGTCCCCATCTTCCTACACACCTAGATTACTGCCTCACTGGTCCCCCTGCCTCCACTTGTTCTCCTGTTATCTGTATGAGTGGAGAGATTATTTTAACGTAAATCACTCCTCTTTTCTCAAAAAGTTACTTGGTCTATACCAGGCACTGTATTAGAGTACCACATACATTACTTTGTTCTTAGTAGTTTTTCCAAGGCAATGTTCTGTTTTAGAAATGAAGAAATGGGTTTTCAGCAAAATCCAAAACATGTGAGTTCTTTTTCTCTGCCTTATTCTAGAGTGAATCCAATAGAAATACCACTGACCATGCTCTCAGGCAACTTACATCAAAATTAGATAAACTGGATATTAAAGGGATTTGCAAAAAAGTAAAATGATGCCACTCTTCTTATTTTTTTGTTTTGGAAAATAGAGTTATAGCTTTAATAAGAAACATTTATGTTAACTTTTATAATGGGTTTGATTTTTTTTTCTTTTTTTCCCTTTTCTTAGTCTCTGTCCCAAGAAGGGTTTGATTTTTTAATGAGTTTTGAAAAAATTTTTCAGTTTTAATTGATCAGGTGAATATTAGCAGACATAACCCATATAAACAAAAACTCTGGGGTCTTCAATAATTTTTAGGTGTGTAAAGGGGTCCTGAGACCAAAATAGCTTGAGAGTTGCTGGAGTAGACTAGTTCCCTCCTGGTTTCTCTTTTGGCTTTTTCAACTATCAAATGTTTATTATGTCTATCTATGCCAGGCACAGTTCTAGATGTTGAGGATACAGTGAGTAACACAGGCAGGCCCTGATGTCATGGAGTTTGCATTTCAGGTGTGTGTGTGTGTGTGTGTGTGTGTGTGTGTGTGTGTGTGTGTGTTGAGAGAGAGAAGGTGATTTAGCCAATGAAGAAAAAAAAATATTATAATTTCAGATTATGTTTAAGTAATGTGAAGAAAATTAAACAGGGGCGAAGTGTCTGGAAGTGTGGGTCTAACTTATATTGAGGCTGGGAAGATGACCTTTAATCTGAGCCTGATTGACAAAACTCTGGCTTTTTCTGCCTATCTCACTCCTCTGGCCCTGTTGGCCTTCCTATGGCTCCTTAAATATGCTAAGCAGGATCCTTCTTCATCCCTTTGTCTAGAAAGCTCTCCTACTTAAAATTTCACTCCAGTCCCTCTAGTCCAGATCTCCTTGGAGAGGTCTTCTCAATCACCCATTGCAAAGAACACCCAACCATCACTAGCCATCCCCTTACTGGGCTTCATTTTCTTTCCTAACACTTATCTCTACATGATATTGCAATATGTATTTATGTGCTTGTTTCTCTCCCTCCAGAGATTTTAAGGCAATTGCTAATAACCTCCAGATCATGAAATAGTACCTGGGACATGGAGGGCTCAATATTAGTGTGCTGGATGATAACCATACAATTAAATATAATGAAAAAAAAAACGTGACTTGGCTTCTGAACATATGAATAAACAAATGTTAAAAGGTTATTAAAAGATTAGTACAGTGACTTTCTCTTTGATGTAACCATAAATATCTAATAATACCAGTCGCATATGGAGCCTCAATGTCAGTCGTTCTCATTACCTGTCTCTCACTAGAATTTAGGGAGGCCCTTGCCTGGCTTGTTCGCGCTATAATCAATGACTGAATTAACAATTGGTACATAGCAAGCGCTCAATAAGTGTGGCGTGAATAGGTGACCACCTTCTTTTAACCCACGGGCAAACTGCACCCAGAAAGAGAAAGTGAATTGGTCAAAGTCATTCCAGGCGTTCAGGGTAGAGTAGGGACTAGCATATCTTGACTGAAGTTAATTAATTCTGCTCTCTACACAATTGTGTCAAATCGTAAGCCTTCAATTCTCAAGCTAAGAAAAATAAAAGGAACAGCCACACGGCCTCTGCACCACGAAAAGACAAGAGGACAGAACCAAACACCGGTTTCTCCGGCGCCCAACTAACGCTTCCAAGCGCCGCGTCCCGCCACGTGACCAAGCCGCCCACAACTGTCACGTGACCGCGGCCCCAGCTCTCGCGCAGGCGCAGTAAGCCTCTCCTCGCCATTCAAGACATGGCGGCTCCCCTAGGTGGTATGTTCTCTGGGCAGCCACCCGGGCCTCCACCACCCCCGCCCGGACTCCCGGGCCAGGCTTCGCTTCTTCAGGCGACGCCAGGCGCTCAGAGACCTTCTAATAGTACTTTGGTGGACGAGTTGGAGTCATCTTTCGAGGTAAAATGAGACATGGGAGTCTTTGTCCCCAGCCCTCCCTCTTTCCTGAAACGTAAACTGCACGCGCTCAGTTATCCCCTTCAGCGGTCCCAGCAGCCAATTTACAAATAAGGAAACTGAGGTTTAGAGAAAGTGTCACTTGCTTTAGGCTCCCCAGTAGTCGATATTCTACTCAGGTCCGCTGGCGGAGGCGCGTAAACTACTCGACGTTTCTGTAGACAACGTGGACTTGAAGTTTTCCTACTCCCCAACCTTGGAACTTTTCCCGGTTCCCAGCCAGCGGGTCCAGTCCCACCCCGTTGCCAGCCCCAGCCCCAGCCCTGAGCTCCCTTTCCTGCATCCCTGCGTGTTTAGTTTGGGCTCATTCTCTTCGGAGCCCAGCGTTTCACTGCTATGTCCCGTGTCCTTTCTTCTGGGCTCCACCTTTAAACGGTCCTCAAGTAATGGGACTCTTGAAGCGGAAATAGACTTATTTAAAAGTTGCTGGGTGGGGCTTGGTACTAGGGTCCGAGGAAGAGGAAAAGGTGGGAGTTAGGAGGAAGGCAGCGATGACCCAGTCTCTTTGAGTTCTGCCCCAAGGAGTTTACCCTGTAGCAAGCAAGATGTGTTCTGAGAGAAGATAGGGAGTAGAGAGGTAAAAACGAATGCTTTGGTGATTTCCAGTGGTCTCTAAAGTGGAAGAAGAGCCAATAGTGTGTGGAAATAAAGTAATAATAACTTCTAATTGGAGTTATCTTTTCCACATTTTAAATTCTAGTTATATGTGTTTTATGTGTGTATATGATAGCACAGTAGTACATGAATATAATTTGTAAGTGACTATATTATTGGGGTTGCATGGATAAAATGCTTTTGCCGTGGGACATACAATCAGAGATTTGGAGATAAATGGTTTAAGGGACAGAGAAATCTGTTCATTTGACATGATGCTAAGCCATAAAGGAAAGGGATGGTTGAGCTTTATTTATTTTATGTGTGTGTGTGTGTGTGTGTATTTCGAGACAGGGTCTTGCTCTGTTGCCCAGGCTAGAGTGCAGTGGCATCATCATAGCTCACTGCAACCTCAGATTTTTGGGTTTAAGTGATCCTCCTGCCTCAGCCCCCTGAATAGCTAGAACTACAGGTGAACCACCAGGCCAGGAGCCCTGGCTAATTTTTTTTTTTTTTTTTAAAGAGACGGGGTCTTGCTGTGTTGCTCAGGCTAGAGCGTAGTTTGCTCACTGCTGACTGGGCTCTGCTTTCCTGAGTTTGAGTCTTTCTTACCAACCCCTGCTCCTCCCAGATGCTAGCTATCCTGTTCTTTTTCTACACACACTCTCCCCACCCAAGCCTGCAATAGGACTTCTTTGTGCATTTCCTGAGAGTTGCATGCACACAGAACTCCTTGCCTAATTCACATATGTGTCTCATTAGGTGCCCCTTTAGAGAGAGTGCCCTGTTTCGGGCTTCGTTATCCATGTGATACCAACATTGTCCACTTAGACTATCCAGCCAGTGATTAACATGGCTTTATTAAACACCTACTTTGTACCAAACAGGATTCCAGGCACTAGGACTGTAGTGGTGAATGAGAGAGGCAAAACTCCATCGACTCGCAGGGTACAGACAATAATGGATGAAAAGAATGGATGTGATGCTAGTTAATTATGTGAAAAACAATAAAGCTGTGGTGGGGTACAGCACGAGCAGGAGGGGCACCCTTTAGAAAGGGTACACAGGGCCACCTCTCTGAGGAGGCGATAAATGGCCTGAGTCCTGAGGTGCAAGTTGTATAAGCCTTGGCTAGAGGAGCTGTGATGGGGCTGGAAGAGCAGCCTGGCCTAGTGTGGAATGAGATAGTGGAGAAGGGGCAAGTGGTAGAAGAGAGACCAGATACAGTGCTGGCTTGTTTGCCTAGCTCTCCCTCCATGGCCTAATTGGGACTCAGTTTACCAAGAGTCTTCTTGGGCATGATGTCTTGTCATCTCATGTGTGGATGCAGATATTGTCAGTTCATTGAATGACTTAAAGAGAAGTTATTTCTTACTCTGAAGTAAGATTTTTGATGTGTGAATGATGTTTTTTCTTTTATATATTTTGATCACACAGGCTTGCTTTGCTTCTCTGGTGAGTCAGGACTATGTCAATGGCACTGATCAAGAAGAAATTCGAACTGGTAAGCATTCTGTCTTTGTAGACAATGTTCTTGGCTTCAGCAAGATTCCTCATTGCTGATTTTACACTTTATATGTTTCAGTCCTGCTTATATCCTAAGAGAACCTACGAGAACTTTTGCAAAGAATAAATGTATGCACATAATGTCTATAAACTGCTGGTTCTTTGTTCAGTTTATTAATTGATATCTTATGTCAATCTTAAGGAACTATTTATAATAAGCATGTCATACTGGTACTAGGTAAACAAGACTAATAGTGTATACTGCTTAAAAAAAGATTTTATTATTTTTTTAAATAGGTGTTATAGAGAAAAGTCTCTTGTGCTTCTCTCTCATCCCCCAAGGTTGTCCCTACAAGTAACCAGAGCTTCTGATTTCTTTGAACTATATTTTAAAGTGTCTTTTTCACCTGATAAAAACACGAATTATCCACTACTTAATGTTGGTTAACACATGGGAAGTTGGAAGTCATTATTATTGCTGTGGCCAACATTAAAATCCCCAATTCATCTATGAGAATGTGCTGTTTTGATATTCTGGCTATTTATGAGGGAGACATATGTGTCTAGTGTTTTCCTTAATTTAATGTTTCGTTCTCTTTTTTTAAGGTGTTGATCAGTGTATCCAGAAATTTCTAGATATTGCAAGACAGACAGAATGTTTTTTTCTACAAAAAAGATTGCAGTTATCTGTCCAGAAACCAGAGCAAGTCATCAAAGAGGTAAAAACAATTTTCTTCTCAGTTTTTAGGAAAAACAGATGTTGCCAGGATTCCATTTATGCTTTAAATGAGATGTATGCATTTCTCTTAAGTTTCAGTAGGGCTTTATAGATCAGTGTGAAATGTTGCTAGTTACCAGTGTTCATGGTAGAGCAGAGCTCTATCTAAGAGCAGAGCTTCAATCAGAGCAGCTCTGCTCTTACTTGTTTCATACATCGGCCTTCAGGGAATATTTTTCTTAAAGAAAAGGTTCTGCTGCATTAAAAAAAGTTACAAAGCCATTAGTGTAGATGAGCTTGTCTAGAACAAAAACAGATCTGTGTCTCCAGTTGCCTTACCCAACGCCTTGCAGACAGGAAGCCATGGATTCAAAAAGTAAATGTTCTGACCCTGGCTCACTCAGGATTTCATTGATGTCAGTCGTTTTAATCTGGGTATTTGGAAGTGTGTTAGAGTTGGCACAATGGGATGCTTTAATGGCATGGAGTGGGTTGGGCCAAGGCCTGCCCCTTGTGATGTGGGGAAGTGAGGAATTGTCCTCCCAGAAGGACAGTGATGCCCCCAGTGAGAAATACTAAATTGGGGCAGTTTTTGAAGTAACTATTCCTTCAAGCTGACCAATTAATCAAAAAGGCTCTTTTCATTCATAATACCAGCTGTTGAGGGGTGAGTGGCAAGTTCTTTATCATGTTGGATCATTTCCTAATGTAAATACTTTAATAACAATGCAAGTGTGTTCAAAGCCAGTTCTTTAATAACAAAGATTGAATGCTGGTGTTCATAAAAAGCTCTTAAAAATGCGGCTGCAACCGGCCGGGTGCAGTGGGCCCA